AGTCCATTCTCTTCTTGAAAGCCTCCAGAGATGAAGCTCCCGCAACTTCCGAAGGCAACTTCTGTTCCATTGAATATAGGATACCAGAGTTGGAAGGGACCTTGGAGGTCACCTAGTCCAACCCGCCTGCTGCGGGAAGAAACCAACATGCCCCGAAACTCCGTTTCAAGGCAGCCCACTTCCCCGAGAGCTCCCTGGAAGACGAAGCGGGGTGCAGTTAACGGGAGTCCCCCCCCCTCCCAACCTCCCTCCGTAGCGCCACCTACTGTTGTAATAGGCGAACTGCAGGTAGTTGAAATGGGATGGGAGGAAGTCTTCGATGGGTTTCTCCTGTCCCGCTTCCTGCGCCAACTCCGTCACGCATCCTTGCTTGCAGCTCAGCACTTGGGTGTAATGATCTGCGCCCCCCGAGAGAAAGAGGATTACTCACAGGAAGCCATTGTGATCGAGGGTTCGGGCATCGTTTTAACCCAGAGGAGCGTTTTCCCGACTTTTAAAGATGGGTGGACTTCAACTCCCAGAATTCCCCAGTAGACTGCGGCTTCCTGGAATCCCTGTTGAGGCTATTTGGACTTCAATTCCCAGAATTCCCTAGCTAGGATATATGGATTTCGACTCCCAGAATTCCCCAGTCAGCATGGATGGATTTCAACTTCCCCCTGGAATCCTAAGTACTTTGACTTCGATTCCCAGAATTCCTCAGTCAGCGTGAGTGGACTTCAACTTCCTGAAATGGCTATTTGGACTTCACTTCCCAGAATTCCCCAGCCAGCAGCACGTGTGAACGTCAACTCCCAGAATTCCCTAGCTAGCACACATTGGATTTCGACTCCCAGAATTCCCCAGTCAGCATGATTGGACTTCAACTTCCTGGAGCCCTTTGACTTCAATTCCCAGAATTCCCCAGCCAGCAGCACGTGTGAACGTCAACTCCCAGAATTCCCTAGCTAGCACACATTGGATTTCGACTCCCAGAATTCCCCAGACAGCATGGGTGGACTTCAAGTCTCAGAATTCCCTAGCTAGCTTGTACAGGTAAGCCCTCAACGTACAAGCGTCAGTTTGGTGAGCAAATTTCTCACTTAGCAACCTAAACGCTGGGCTCGATTGTGGCCGTAACGTGGAGGACTTCCTGTATGGACTTCAGCTCCCAGAATCCCCTTAGCCAGCAATTATTAGTATTTAATAATTTAATAATCTATGCGCCTTCCATTTTCTGGTTGACTTTCAATGTCATTTCTCCTCTTTAAATGGATTTTCATACACTGGAACGGAGCATTCGTAATGGATTCAAATGAATAAATGAAGTCCCAGAATTCCCAAGTCATGAGACCTCAACTCCCAGAATTCCCCCCTCTCTTCACCCTTTCCACACGAGGAGGCCCCGTTTCATTGTTAGTTAGAAAAGCATCTTGGTTTTAAAATATTAAAAGACCAGCAAAGATTTCCCGTAATGGAATGAGCTAAAAAGAGAGCCTCCATATCCAGGAGCAGAATATCTGAAAACCAGTTTTTTTTTTCCCCCTAAACCTCCGCGGGGTTTTGACCCAGTCAGGCATCCCACATATGTGGCCTTCTCCCATCCAGGATCCCACGGCTTCCCGCCGAGCCTTATGGGATTCGTCGTCCCGCGCTTTCCCGCGCACTCACCGATAAAGGCTTGATAGAAATCAGCATTGTAATCGAGGTAGTTGTAACCATCGTAGTTATACGGCTCTTCGCAGAGGGCCCGGCACTCGGTGTCAGCTACCCAGTACTCATCCAGGGCCTTCTCCAGGTGCAAAATGGCTACCTGGGGGTTCTCCTCCGTGTAGTAACTCACACCCAGGTGGAAATCTTGCTAGAGGGAGAATTGGAGAAGGCAGAGATGGCTTTCAACTCCAGAAAACAAAACGGAACGATCTTAGCATTCCCCACCTATTAATCCTATTTTAAGTAGTCCTCAACTTACGGCAAGACCATCGCAAGGTGGTACGGTCGCTAAGAGAGCCACTCCTTCCTACCACCAGTCGCTGAGCAAATCCAGCTCTGTTTTATCAGATTGCTAACGGTGATCATTCACTCGCTGGAATATTGCGACCGTCGTAAAGAAAGGAAGTCTTTAACTTACAACCGCAGCTGAGGCCCAAATTTTATGTTGTTCAGCGAGACATTTGTTAGGTGAGTTTTGCCCCATTTTACAGGGTGTTTTCTCTTGAAAGTTGTTAAGTGAATCACGACAGTTATTAAGTGAGTAACAAGGGGGCAGTGTCACGCGATGTGGTTTTGTGACCTTCTGACAAGCAACGGGAGAAGCCCGGCTCGCTTAACAACCGTGTGACGCATTTAAAAACCGCAGCGATTCGCTTAACCGCTTTGGCCAGGAAGGTGGTAAAACGGCTCAACGCTCACTTAACGACTGTCGCGCTTAGCGGCAGAAGACTTGGGCTCAACGGTGGTCGTGATAACTAGTCCTCAATGTGCCTTTGTGCTTCTGAAACATCCCGTAACATGTATACATGCGTGTGTGTGTTTATACGTCCGTGTGCGTGTCGATTATACACGCACACACAATTTCTAAGTTTTAAACCATGCAGAATCGCTTCGGTGAGATTGGCGGCTTAGGACGTTAACTGACTTAATCGATTCTATGAAATGTATATAAAAAAGATTTTATTCAAGGCAACCGACATTTTAAAAAAGCTTCAATTGAATAAGGACACGGCCTGCGTGATTTTCTTTCGCTTTTCAGTTTCTTGTTTTTGGATAATTTTGCACATTCTTTTTTTCTTTTGCTGCAGTTGCTTTAATGAAAGCAATTATTTTAATTTAAAGGAGAGAGAGAGAGAGAGAGAGAGAGAGAGAGAGAGAGAGAGAGAGGGTGCATCCCATCGTGATGCGTCCTCACCATGTGGGCCTTCGCTTCCAAATCGACAAAATCCGAATCTTTCACCCCAACCATCATCTGGTAATAAGCCAGGTTCTGTCGCATCTCGGCGTGGTCTGGATTGGCCGAGAAGAAAGTTTGGGCAGCTGCCACGGCCTTGTTCAGCTTGTTGAGCTGATGAAGAAGAGAAATTCACTTTTGGGGGGGGGGAGGGGTTTCCCTGAAAATGTGGCTATGGCATCTTTGGAAAGAATGCCACTGCATTTGGATTAAATGAGGGAGAGAGAAAGAGGATGAGAAAGAGAGAAAGAAAGAGAGAAGAGGATGAGAGAGAGAAGAGGATGAGAAAAAGAGAGGGAAGAGAATGAGAGAAAGACAGAAGAGGATGAGAGAGAGAAAAGATGATAAAAAAGAGAGAGAGAAGAGAATAAGAGAAAGAAAGAGAGAGGAGGATGAGAGGGAGAAGAGTATGATAGACAGAGAAAGAGAGGAGGATGAGAAAGAGAGAAGAGGATGATAGATAGAGAAAGAGAGAAGCTGAGAAAGAAAGAGAGAGAGAAAGAAAGAAGAGTATGATAGATAAAGAGAGAAGAGGAGAAAGAGAGAGAAAAAGAGAGAAGCTGAGAAAGAGAGAGAGAAAGAGAGAAGAGTATGGTAGATAGAGAAAGAGAGAAGAGTATGAGAAAGAGAGAGAGAAAGAGAGAAGAATATGATAGGCAGAGAAAGAGAGAAGAGTATGATAGATAAAGAGAAGAGGATGAGAAAGAGAGAGAGAAAGAGAGAAGAGTATGATAGAGAAAGAGAAGAGGATGAAAGAGAGAGAGAGAGAAGAAGCTGAGAAAGAGATAGAGAAAGAGAAGAGGATGAGAAAGAGAGAGAAAGAGAAAGGGTAAAGAAATGAAAAAGGAAGAAAAGAAAAGAGACAGTTGAGGAAGGAATAAGGGGGAGAAAAGAGTGGAAGGCAGAGAAAGACAGAAAATGGAAAAAGAGGACAGAAAGAAGAGTGTGATAAAAAAAAAGGAATGAATGACCAGAAAGAAAAGAAAATAGGAAGCGGAAGGATAAGGGGGAGAGGAAGAGAGGGAAAGGTAGAGAAGGAGAGAAAATGGAAAGAGAGAGAGAAAAAAGACGTGAAAGAAAAGAAGAAAAGAGAAAGAGGAGGAAGGGGTAAAGGGAAGACAAGGAACCCGGAATGCTGAGGAGAGAAGGATAGAAAATGGAAAAAAGGAGGAGAGGAAGAGAGTGAAAAGAAAAAGGAAGGAATGGCCAGAAAGAAAAGAAAATAGGGAGCCAAAGAAGAGATAAGGAGGAGAGGAGGAGACATTGCGGAGAGAAGAAGATGGAAAAAGAGAGAGTGAGAAAAAAGAAATGAAAAAAAGAGAAAACGGATAGAAAGAAAGGAAGAGGGGTGGGGAGATTTGATCTGAAATTTTCCACTTGGGGCATTGACAGATCCCCCTCCCCAAAACCAGCCGAAGACCCAACAACCCCCCCCTCGAGGTGGGGGGGAGAGAAACTCGAACCCCCTCCCCTCCCCTCTCCCTCCATCCTTCCTCTTCCAAGCGTCCGGCGCAAAGGCGGCCGGCGCCGAGACCCCGCGGAGAGCGGGCGCAGCCCCTTCGAGCGACGTGGCACACGGGGGGCGGAGAGCGGAGCGGGCGGGGCTCCCACGCACCCCCCCTCCAAAGTTTCCCCTCCCCCTTCCCACCCATGGGGCGCATGGGGTCGCCGGCAGCCCCTTCCCCAATTGGGGCCTTTGGATCGCGGGAGGGGGGAAAGAAAAGAGTAAAAAAGATGCCAAGGGGGCAGAAGGCGGCTTTGGATCGCCAAGGGGGCAGAAGGCGGGGGGGGTGGTACCTTGGGAGAAGACCCTCCCCAGCGGGCCCCCCCCCCCAATTTCCCCCGATTTGGATGGCAGGCGGGCACAGCAGTAAAGCGGCGCAGGGAGGGAAGATGAAGATGATGCCAAGGGGGGGCAGAAGGCGGTGCCAACCGTGGAGGGGCAACTTGGGGAAAGGGGAGACCCTCCCCAGCGCGCCCCCCCCCAATTTCCCCCGATTTGGATGGCAGGCGGGCACAGCAGTAGAGTAAAGCGGCGCAGGGAGGGAAGATGAAGATGATGATGATGCCAAGGGGGGCAGAAGGCGGTGCCAACCGTGGAGGGGCAACTTGGGGAAAGGGGAGACCCTCCCCAGTTCGCCCACCCCCCAAATTTACCCCCTTTCCCCGATTTGGATCGCAAGGGGGCACAGCTGTAGAGGAAAGAGGCGCGAGGAGGGAAGAAGAAAACGATGCCAACCGGGCAAAAGAGGATGCCAGCCGAAAGCACACGGGGGGGGCGACTCTCCCCAGCTCGAACCCCCT